ACAGCCAATAAAATTAGCCTACATGTTTCAACCGTAAAAGTCCAAAACAAAATAAAGCTAGTTTTAGTGAAGCTAAGAAGCTCTGCTTTGGCCCCGTTCTCTCTGGCTTGAACTGGGGTCCTTTTATCTAAAGCCCAGTGCACAAACATATAGCTTAATGTGACTAGTGTTCTTCCTTTTATTTCTTTCTCTATGGCAACCAATATGTTCTGCTCAGAAATGTTCCCCCATCAAGGAAACAAATGATCTTGAGGGAGCAGCTCTATACGGCATCTGTTCCGATGGAGCACACAGAGTTAACCCCAGTCAAAAGAGACGCTGGGCACGTCAACAAGAAGTGGAAAATGAGCGATTCTTCTCCCCCCCAAATTGAAACCTATACCTCCGTAGTTTTACAAGCCATTTTATTGATTTGGCTATCGACCGTTTCCAAAGAAGTAACTAATTCTGGGAAATTACAATGATCACCAGCTATTGTGTATCCAAAAGAGCAGCAACAGAGGTGGCAAGGAAAAAAAATGCAAATAACACGGTAAAATTAAAATAAATTAAAGTCACACAATGGGATATTTAAGATTTGGTAAAGTTTTCAGGAGCAGTGTCTGGCCTGTTAATTTAATCCTACATTGTTTATCACATTATTTATCACACTGACCCAAACGCTACAGAAGAGTTTCAGATCATTAGACTACACCTCTCAATTGGATGGGATTCGGGGAAAGCGGAGAGACAAGGCAAGATTGTCAAGAGAGAGAAACAAAGTGAAATCTGGTCTGTAATCCTCCAGCCCCAATCTCCTTGGAGAATAAAATGAAGGGATGTCCTGGTTAGTTTTGATTGATTATACTCTTTCTGATGGACTTTCACTACAGAGCTCTAGATGTTGTGCTTAACCGTCTGTTCCCTAGTTACAATATTAACCCTGTGCGTGCACCGCCGCCCCGCACCTTCCCCTGCCTCCCCCCGCGCCGGTCGCTCCGCCGGCAGGTGCTCGGGTCACCCGCGCCCCGGCCCCGGCCCCGGCCCCGGCCCC